TGCTCTTTGAGAATTCCCATTTGCCCAGTGACCTCAGTAGAAAATATTTGTTTGTGACTATCGTTGTTCACATTCCTGAATCTGCACTGAAATCAGTTGCACCCTAATTTTTTTTAAATAAGAACCTTTTCCCCATGTATGAATTATGGTAGTGATGAGCAACACCACACATAAGCAGCAGGGAGCACACCAGCATCTGATTTATGTCCATGCTCAACAGCAGCTTGGTATTTCTCAGTTTTTTTTAATGCATATTAAGGTTCTTTTTATGATATTTTTTTCTCTTTGTCTAGAAAAATGCTTCATATTTGCTCTTTGAATAGATATAAAATCTTCTCTTCTAAAATACCTTGTTATGTGTGATTTGGAAGCTGTATTAAAGTGACAGACTTCCTTTTCCTTGGATTTCATCACAGGTGATGCAAAAAATTTGGCAGGGTCTAGATGTAACAGATAGTAAAACTACATGAGAGATGTTTATCTGACTTTTGTATATCCCTAAATCCCAGAATGAAGTAATTAAAAAAAAAACCTGAAAAGCAGAGACAGTCACTTGTTTGTAATCTCTTTCAACCTGGTTCTAATTTCTCTGTGAGTAAAGCTACTGCAATGTGATTGCTGCACTCTCAGGATTGTCATTGCTTTGCTTGGTAAAGGTCTTCATGTATCTTTTGAGCTCCAGATATGGCTGTGCCAGTTCTTAGGTATGTACGCTTCAGGGAGACAAAGTTTCATAAAGGAAATATGCATAGAAAGGCTGCTATTCTTTCATTTCCAGTTTATGAAAGGAAGAATTCCTCTCTTCTGTGCACAAAGAACTTGTGTGTGCAAGAGCTTGTTGCTCTGTGGCTTGGGTGACACCTCAGTGTTCTGCATTGGTGAAAAAATGCTCATCATTGAACTTAAAATCTGTTTCATGGGGTCTAATACAATCAATTAACTTGGTCTTGTCTTGTTTATATCATTGTGCCATATGGTGTGTGTGCAGGCAAAGATTTAGTCCAGGCAGAAATTTTATGGAAGAGAATTGCAAATGGGGAAGCAAGGGAGAAACAGAGTGGTTAATCAGCAGAGCTGGGTTCTTGATAGATACATACTGTTTACCCTAAACAGGGGAAAGATACGTAACAGATGCTGAATTCTTCAGCACACTTGGCAGCAGAGCACGCTTGGTAGCAGCAGCAGTGTGAACAATGTGAGTGGTGTAGCACATAGGAAGGGATGGATGCTCCTTAACTTGGGAACCAAGGGATGGATGCTCCTTAACTTGGGAACCAAGGGATGGATGCTGCTTGTTGCTGTGCCTACCAAGTCGTTACTGGGAGTGTTGCAGGTAGTCTGCCGATAAAAGATAACACTGTCTAAATGGAGTAACATTGGCAATTACTGCCTACATTGCTCTTTGTTTTTCTTCTTTTAAAATATCTGCTCAAAATGATTGCAACTGCTTCCTAGTATAAGATTTTGTAAGGCAAATATGCTCTGTCATGTATTCTCAGTTGCATCCTAAGTTTTTGATCAGAAATATAGAGATATAAACCTTTGTCTAAATGATTTTTGAGACGTTATTTTAAGAATAATCACTCTTTGCCATCCATGTCTCTTAAATGTCAGCCAGTGGATATTTACCACTAGTAATACAGTGCACAGATTTTGTTTAAACTCTTTAGGTGAAGCCTTTGAATTCTGGTTATTTTTGGTGATGAACACAACCGAGAATGTTTTTGACTTAATTGGTATATGTTTCAGGTTGATTTCCTTATTTGCATACTTCTTGCAGTGCCACCTTATTTTTTAGGACAAATCCGTTAGTCTTAAAACTAGGTTCTGAATTTTTTTTCAGTCACAATTTCCATAAGTCTGACTAAAATGTTTTGTGTAGTAAAAATCACATGGTAGAAGATGCCATTGTCCTGAGAGATATTTTTGTTGTTTTTATTTGATTTGGTACAGCTTGAAACTGATTTAGCAAAACCCCTTCACCCTCCATGTTAATCATATAAAATATTATAATTGTAAAAAATCCATAGGAAATGCCTTAAATGACTCTCCTATGAAAAATTTTACTAGCTCATATATAGAAAACCTTAAAATCTTCATCACTGAGGGTATGTGTGTGTTAATAATGCCCTCAGTAACCATGCATGACACACTGTTATCAGATGGCAAAAGACTCTCAATCTTCTTTGTCACTTCATTTGTTTGAATATTTTATCTAGGAGTCAGTGATTGAAATCACTGGTGTTTCTGTATCTGGAGTGAAGCTGTATTATACCTTACTGTTTACTTGTAGTTCAGCTGAACAGCTTCTCAAGAAAGTTTTAATTTTTTTTTTTTTTCCTAAAAGCAAATTGAGTTGTCCTGTTAGTAGCATGGGCTAAAAGCATTTCTCCATTTTAGATGCAGTAATTTCAGTCTAATAGCAGTACCTTACCTTGCCCTCTTCTCAAGTAGTTTTAAGATGTGGTTTGACAGGAAAAGGTATGGATGGTGTGGTGGTGGGAGAGCAGAGCTGACGATGCAGGCAGCCCTTGGCTGTACTGCCTGCCAGTGCTCTGAGGGCTGGGCTCAGCTGTGTCTGGCCAGGCAATGCAGTCTCAGCAAGGTGGCTCTGCTCAAAGGGTGCCTGGGCTGGAGGGCAGCTCCACAGGTCTCCATGCCTGTGCTGCTTTCCATGTCAAATGCTGAAACATGTTTTGTGGCTTCCTAATGCTCCATGCCAACCAGCTGAGATGGAGCATTCAACAGCTTCAACCTAGAAAATTAATGGGCTGATGTTTCAGGTGTGTTTACCTTTTGTGGCCTGCAGGATACTTACAGCTTGCACAGGAGGAAAAGGAAGCTGAAATTTCACATCTCAATTAGGCTTGGTTTTCAGCCTCTCAGGCTGCTGGCAGTGCCAAACACTTTTAAGTAATACCAGCAGTGTAAGCATAGTTTACAGTCAGTAAATTTGTGTGCTCCAGACTAAGCATGGCTGCTTTATTTTGCCCTCCTTGTGAAATTGCCCATTGTCAATACTGTGAATGGAAGGTGTTTGGAGTAGCAGTGGGAGGATTAATGTGGTAACAGGTGTGATGAAGGGCAGGAATCTGTTAAAGAAGCCAGAACTGTAGCTGCAGCACAGAGGCCTTTAGGGCACGGTAGTTAGAGCAGTGGTAAGATGTGAGCCTCTGGGGAAGAGTTAAAGAATGTGTACTGACAGTTAGACTTGCTTTTCTCTACTTTTATTTATTTGTGCGAAGTTTTACTAACAGTCACTCTTTTCTTTGCCTAGTGTGAAGGTCTTGTATTTTTTTCGTCCTGTAGTGCTTTGGCAGGGTAAAAGTGTGGGTGCTCTGCAATGTCCAGTCTTAGTTAAACACTTCCAGGGATGGTGATTCCACCATCTCCCTGGGCATCCCATTCCAATGTCTAATCACCATTTCAGTGAATAATTTTTTCTTATGTCCAAGCTAAGCTTCCCCTAGTGCAACTGAAACCTGCGTCCTCTGGTCCTGGACTCTCCCCAGGTTTGATCCTTGACCTAACAAAGGATGCTTCCCTTATGGCTTTGGTTATGCCTCTTCAGAAAGAACAGAGTAATAAAGAATAGAAGCCCCCTTTTCAAATGAATTTCTCATTCATAAAGCTTAAATGAGAATGTGGGACTTGCAGAATAGTGAAAATGATATTGAGAGTGTGAGCTCTGATTTTACCTCATAAGTCTGTGCTGCACTTTTTCCTGCTTTCCTGTTGTGATAATAGTGGAAAGATAACTTTTCTTTCACAGTGTCTATATGTAAAAGCTTTGCTGTTTCATTTCTTGCCAGTTCACTTCTGCAGACCAGTTTTCCTGTGCACTCCCAGCGTGTTTGTCCCGTGCCAATAACAGAGCCATAACTGGCTGATGGGCAGGTGGGAACTGCTGTGGTGGCTCTGCAGCTCCACAGGGAAAGCTGAACCACAGCTGGGCACCTGCAAATTAAATTACATTCTGGATTTTTTGGATATAACTCTAATACTGTTGCAGTAACTTCTGCAGGCTTGTTCTATATGTCATGTTGTCCACTTCAAAATATATTGCCTTCTAGTATCATTGAGAGCATTGTGTGATATGAAATCTTTGAACACATTGAAGAGTTGTACAGGTGCACCTAGCTGACCTCTCTCACTCCATTCACTATATTTTGTGTCATATTGTTTCATCTTTTATTCATCTCTTCACTAGCTAACTTTCTCTTCTTTTTAATTGCTCATTATAATGCTTTTTTCCAAACTTATAGTACTTTTCATTTTACCTCTGTGAACCTATTTTGGATTTGATTTGTGTTTTTTTTTGTCTTCTTTTAATAATTGACTGTGAAAAAATATGGCATTATGTTGGTTTTGGCTGGGACATAGTTAATTTTCTTCACAGTAGCTGCTCTGGGGCTGTGTTTTGGATTTGTGTTGAAAACAGTGTTGTTAACACAGGGATGTTTTAGCTATTGATGCAGCACTTGGCATCAAGGCCATTTCTGTTCCTCACCTCACCCCACCAGTGAGGAGACTGGGAGTACACAAGAATTGGGAGGGAAAACAGCTGACCCCAGCTGATAGCCCAGACCATATGGAGATATGCTCAGCACATGAAGCTGGGGGACAGAGAAGGAAGGAGGGGTGTTTGGAGTGATTACACTCAGCTGTATGTTTCGCGGGCATGGTGGTATTTGGTCAATGGTTGCACTTGATAATATTTGAGGTTTTTTCCAACCTCAATGATTCTGTGATGGTGTTTGTCTTCCCAAATCAGGATTATGAGCAATGGGGCCTGGCTTTCCTGGAAATGGCTGTGCACCTGCCTGCCTGAAGTATTGAATGAATTCCTTGCTTTGCTTTGCTTTGCTTGTGTGTATGACTTTTGCTTTCCCTATTAAACTGTTTTTATCTCAACCCACAAGTTTTCTCACTTTTACTTCTCTGATTCTCTCTGCCATCCTGCCTGGGGGAGTGAGCAAGTGAGTGGCTGTGTGGTACTTAGTTGTCAGCAGGCATAAAACCATAACCAGTAAAAGATGAAGAATAATGATATAATAGCTCCAGTTGTCTTCTCTCCTATACAACCTAATGATTATCACTAGTGTTGGGAAATGAATTTTCAGAATTTATGATTCTCCAGGAAAAGAGGTAAGAGGGAAACAGGAGTTGGGGCATGCTGATAATAGCAGAAATGACTTCAACAGAGAGATTCTTTTTCACCTTGTGTCTTATCTAATTATGACATGATTGTCTGCTGTTCTCTGGTATTTTACTGTATGGGCAGGTGAGCCCATTTCTGAGATTTAACAGATCACAGATGAGAAGGCATAGATTAGCCTGAGCTTTCTTCTCAGTCTTGCTGTCTCCAATGTTGCCTGCACCAGATGCTCCCTTTATTACCAAACTGTTCCTGCTGGGTGTTTGTTGAGGGGTGCTCACATGCAGGGAGGCAGGGGTCTCAGCTCTCACTGACTTGTGCTTGGCAGATTCTTGAATAGCAAACTGGATGAGTTATTGAGAAATAAAGGTGGAGTGCAAGCATAGTGCCCAGAATAAGAGCATTTTATCTTCCTGTAAGTATGACTTCAACATTCTAGTTTTGGAAGTCTAATTTAAAAATAATTCAGTGCTTCACTGTTTAATTCTCTTGTGCTGTTGATGTGGGAGACTTCAGAGCGACAACAAAAAAAGGTAATAAAAGCAGACAATGACTTTGGTTATGTATTGTGTATCATAAATATTTGTGTCTCTGACTGGTTTCATTTTAGCTAGCTGAGGTGTCTCTGACTGGTTTCATTTTAGCTAGCTGAGGAAATATAACTTGCTGAAGGCGGTTACCTTTGTTCAAAGCCAACTGAGACAGCACCAGCACTCAGTAATTACAGCCATACAGTTTCCCAGAGACTCCTTCTTCACCAGACCTGTCGTCTCATGTCCCCATTTGTAACACTGTTCATTATATTCAACCTGCTGCCGTCACTCCAGAGCTTTCAAAAGGTGTTCTGTGGGCGATCGTGCTGCAGGACGTGGATAATGAAATAGTTAGACGTGACTTGTATTATAATAGGCTCACCTAACTTTCATTTGGCTTGAAAAGTAGACTTAATAAAAGCAAGAGTGAAAGGCATTTTATGTTTTTAATAAGGAGTCTCATGTGCTATAACCTGCCGTTTTTCATTGTGTGTCTCTTCTCATGGTTTCTTTTTGAGGCACCTGACAGAAGAAGAGCAGTGAATGTCTCTTAATCTTAAAGCTTTTTGAAAAACTGCAGTGGTAATCAACAGTACTCATCAGTAATTTCCAACTGCAGTAAGTGACTCAAAGTTTTTACATCTACATCTTCTATTTTAAATGGATAATTATTTGTTGATGGTAAAGATAGTCCTCTTCATCAAAAACAAAACTGAAATATCTACACACTATAGAGCACCACATCTGTTTAAGCACTTATTAGCAAATTTTTTTTCAATATCTAATAATCTTTAAAAAATCCCCCTACCTTGCAGTATCTCCAGTTGGACTGTAAAGGAGCTGAAGGAGTTTGTGCTGCTCTGTTCTGTGGCGAGACAGAGCCACGCTTCACATCAAGGTTTAGAAATGCCTAGAAGAGCAATGAATAGAGACAAGTTCAAACACTGAAACCTGGGTGGTGATGACCGTTGGAAAATAGCTTCCTAATGTAAACCAGAACTCTCTGTTGTAGTGCTGTTACCTTTGTTTGACTAGACAGTCATTGCTACAGGTGAGCCACAGTGTGGCTCCAGGGGAGCCTCATCCTTGCTGCTGCAGACTTGGAGAAGCACATGCACCACAGCACAGGTGAGAGTCAGGATGCAGGCCTGGGAGCAGGATAAATTGGAAGTGAGATGGAAATGCAGCCACTGTAGAAACTTGTAAATAGATACCTGATTTCTGAGGTCATATGCATAGGGATAATAACAGTAATACAGTTAGGGGGAAGAAAAGCTCTGTGCCCCAAAATGGGCAGCTGTGCTCTCAGTGGAATAGGTTCAGTAAATGCAGGTGTGACTGATGGGATTTCATGAAACAAGAGCTGGCTAAAATACTCATCTTGCTCTGTAAAAACCAGAGGTAGTGTTGGTCAGTGGTGGAAAGCTCTTTGAGGAGGGGCAGCTGGTTACCTGCCCCTTTGATTAAGAACATCTGGGCTTTGGTGAACACTGTCTTCACCTTCCAGTTCTCTTTCTACTTGTATTTCTGGTGGTACAGCTCTGGGTCTGTATGCAGAACCACTTTTAGCTCTGACTGTACTGTCATGGTATTCAGTTTTTCTCCTTGTCACAGCTACTAATAAATAGTCATGTTTCCTGTAAACTTCAGACATCTACTTTTCCCTTCTTCCACTCAATTTTGCCCTAAACTCCATCTGAAATTGGTGGAACACTCTTCTCATGATATTAGTTGTGCAAAGTATACATTGGCTTTAGTAACAACTGCCTTCTCTTGATGGTTTTTGATAGATGGGTTCAGGGACTTGTGTCAATACCTTGTCTTTTTAGCTCTGCAAGAAGCAGGTAGCCAATGGCTGGATTTTCTAGGGTGTTTACATTTGGGAAAGGTATGTGTATGGAAGACAAATAACTGTGATCATGCAAGAAGATCTTGCCTTTGTGTATTTAGAAATGCCCAGAGAAGTAATCAGAGACATCTTGTGAGTGTTATAAACAGAGCTAGGAAAAAAAATTAAGAAAAATAAATTTAAGAAATCTTTTAGTTAAGCTTATTGCTGAAGAGAAGACTTGGAACAAGAGCCTTGGTCATGGTCTTTGGAACCATGCTGGCATCTTTTAGCTCTCATCCACCCCCTCCCCACAAAACCCATTACTTGTCATCCCTTTCCCACTAACAGTTTGCAAGATTTCCTAAACTCCTTTCAGCTGCACTCACACATGGCTACTTGCTGACCCTTGTAATCCATCCTGTCACTCACACACCATTCTGCAGACCCAGCAAATCCATGTTTTCTCTTCCCTGCTGCAATGCCTTCAGCTGGTGCAGCCCAGCCGTGCGTCGGTGGCCTTTCACCACTTTGACTTGCTCTGACCTCTCATTCCCAGCTTTGCAGTTGTTATGGTTGGCACAGTGTGGTCACTTGGCACAGGTATGGTCTGTTTTCAGCTCCTTTAGCCAGGCATTGCTTGTGCAGTGTGAAAGGGAGTGCTGCCTCACTGCATCAAATGGTCCAGCTGTTGAAAGAAGTATTTTTAATTACAGGATATTGAATGAAGCATGATTTGTCATATTATGTACTGACTAGTGGATGTAATAATACTTTTTTTTTCTGCAATTATACAAGTTAATAACATTTCTATTGACTACAGTTTCAGGAAAGGTCTCTGTGGCGGGAGATATTTAGACTGTGGAAGTCAGTGACACATGTCTGGTTGAATTCAGTAACACCAGGATTTAACCACTAACTGACAAATCAGATGAAAAATAGCAGTGAAATTATCAGAGCACTTACAGGTTATTCTTACTCTTCCTCAAGCTGCCAAAGCTTTATATGATACTTAAATCAATTTGGTAAGTCTTTTTCTCTACTACTGTGACCTTCACAGCCAGAGGTATTTCTGGACCTTTTCCACAAGTGGTGGCCAATACCTCTGTGGTAGTATGCACCCCTATTTTAAAAATAACAGAATCATATTGGACTAAATCCAGAAGTGGTGTATGTGGAAGTGAGTTGTTGCTCATACCCTGTGTAGGAGGGCTGCTGGACATTGAAGTGGACATATTTTGCTCTCTTTAGAGGGTTGGTCTGAGTTACTTGTGGGAGAGCTAATGCTCCTTGGAGATGTCAATCAGTTTTCATTTTAATAACATGCCTTGTTGAATTTAAAACTGGCATTTAATATTGACACTGTGCATGAACTGCCATGTCATTATACACATGCTAACCTAGATTTATGAAATAATAAAATCATTGTGGTTTAAATTCCCACAAAATATTGATGGAAAAAAGTGTCTTACACTTATGAGTGTAGCTTACTTGCTAATGTATTTGCCATTTTTTACTGACCTTGCTGTGAATGCAACCTTGCTGCAGGCTCCTGCAAATTGGAGCTCTGCTACAGTATTTCTGTTCAGTTAATACCTGCAGAGCCACATATTTACTGGAAGAGCACTCTATTCTTCCTTCCTTCCTTCTGGAATACATTACCCTAATAACCAAAATGACAGTCTAGAATAATACATCTTTATTTATTGATGTATTTCTTGGTTCTGCTCTGTGATAAGAGGCATAGTGATTTCATTCAAGCAGGGTATTACACTGACAATTTCTTTCTACTTCAGTGTTCATCTACCTGAAGGAAAACCAGCCTGAATCAGGAAGAAAGAGTTTCCCTTTATTTTCTGTGCTAAAATAAAGCTGTGCTAAAGGAACATGAGGGCTGCAAAGGCACGCTTTCAGTAGGGGGAGGAGATTCCAGGATTAACACGGTCAGTGTCATGTTTTAGGACTTTCATACTCATGCATTATGATCCTGCCTTTTGTTAGAATACGCATACTATTTCAGTTGTACAGTAATGCTTATAATGCCATTTCAGTTTAAAATGATTTTCAATTATGAGTATGGTAGGCCTTTTGGGGAATACTAAAGACAGAAGTCTGTTTTTTGTAATTTCTGAGCCAGAAATGGTGGAAGGATTGAAGGAAGACAGAGTGGGATTCATGTGGTAAAAAGGTGGGCTGGTGTTTTGGTACTGGGGTGTTACTTATCTGCTAGAGGTAAAAGCTTAAAACTGGAAATGAGGTTAATTTGTGGCACATCCTCCACTGTAAATCAATTAAAAATTAAAAAAGAAATTAAACGACTGGATGGAATTATTGTCCAGCTTGAAAAAAGACCAAGTGTTGATCTTTAACTGGAGCTTTTACTTCCATTTTTTGTTTCTATATTTATCTGATTATGGTATTGGGTAATTTTAGGGATGTCTCTGAATTTTATTGTATCAAAGTTTTATTTTATTCTTGTGACAACGCCTTTTTAATTGACTCATTGAAATAATCATGCTACACCTATGTGCCTGATTGAATGTCAAAGTCTTGATTATGCATTTAAATAGAAAGCCATGCTTTTAGAAGGGGCATGCTCACAGTTTCCCCAGCTCTTGACTTTTTGTTG